CCTACCCCGCCAGCATCGTCCACCAGGTCCCTGTCAGCATGGGCCCGCGGGTTCTGCCCTCACCCACCATCCACCCGAGTCAGTACCAGGCTCAGTTTGCCCATCAGACCTATATCAGTGCTTCTCCAGCCTCCACAGTCTACACTGGATACCCACTGAGCCCCACCAAGGTCAACCAGTACCCTTACATCTAAACACTGGAATAAGGAGCGAGAGACGCACCCGTCCCGGGGGAGTGAGGCGGCCGCTTTTGTACTGAAGAACATGGCAAACTAACAATGCAATGGGAGGCTCGCGTGAAACTTGAACGAAGGAGACTTTAAGGAAGAAACGAGAAAGAGGAAAGAAGGGGGAGAACCAATTCTACACTTTTTATTTAAAAAAAAAAAAAAAGAAAATGGAAAAAAAGAACAGAAAAAAAAATAAAACAAAACCACAAAAAAACCAACCATTCTGCACCAAACTAGAGAGAGAGAGAGAAGCAGAAGGACCCCCCAGCGGGTCCTGTCTTTTGGAGAACTTCACCAATAGACTTTTAAAGGTTATTTTCATCCAATAGTGAGCTACATTTAGAAATTTGTTGTCCAGAACACCTAAAATGAAATCCATTAGGTTTTTAATCCAATAGGTATATGGATTAGGGATTTATCCAGCATTTCAAAGGGTTCATGCCCCATCTTTGTAGTGGTTTCCGTATCCCAAAGCATACATAAGGTTTGGGGGTTTTATTCTGGAAATAGGAAGTGGGTAAGGAAGGCTGAGGGAGGAGGATAAAATGTTGTCCCAGTGCTCTAAATTCGGATCTAGCACTGCTACGCTTAAACACACATGGGCAAAACAGGCCGTGCAGCACTGGTCGAGAGAAGCAATGGGGACGTTTTTCCCTTTCCTTGAACACACTGGATAAATCCCTGAGAAATGCTGTTCCTAAATGAGATCTCTAATGATGTACGTTGGATTTCAGTTGCGTTTCATTTTATTTGGAAATTTTCCTTTTCAATCCCTAGCCGTTTTAGTATAGGAGGAGACATTTTAGCTGCCCCCACCCCCACCCTCCCCATCCCCCCCGGTAGAATGTAGCACTATACAGGTCATACGCCCTTTTTACTATTTTGTGTTGAACTTCAACGATACCAATAGACTATTCCTCAATGTGATTGCACAAAGAAAAGTGATATAACATAGGCATGTAACAAATGTGATTGTCCAGGTATGTACGTGTGTGTGTGTGTGTGCGTGTGTGCGTGCCTGTGCGTGCGTGCGTGTGTGTGCAGATGCTGCCTTCTCTCTGTGGTGTGTTCCTCGGCACAGCCATTACAACTGTCACAGTCTTAGTTTTACATCATTCCCTCGTAGTGCCTTACCGAACTACAGATGCGGTTTAAGGGTTTACTTCCACTGGTACTCCTAGAAACTGACTGAGGCTAGTCGGAATTTACTCTCACTCTTTTTCTTTTTCTTTTTCTTTTTTTTTTTTTTTTTGGGTTGTTACTGCAGATTTTCTTCTGCTGCTGGTGGTGATGTTTGTTTTTTTTTCCCACGTCGTCAATCTTAGCTCACTTGGCGAGGTGTTGGGGAGGCTCGTCGGGGTTGGAAGTGTGTATAGCTGGGTGTTTTGTTGAGCACTGGATGGGCTGGAAGTGACCAGGTCGGCTGTGAGACCCAGGGTGACTCCCAGAGGGTCTGGGGATTCGTATGTGGACTGGTCTGTTTCTATCCTGTTGAAATCGCAGGTTTCCTCCCCGGAAACTGAATTCTCATCCTGCTGTTTGCTGACGTTCTCGGCGGAGTGGGAGGACAGCGTCCTCCCAAGTTGTCAGGTTGTCCCAGTTGTGTGTCTGAAATGGGAACAAAACTTTAGCCTGTGAAAGGGGGTAACAAGAATTGTTGCCAACATCTCTCACAGCGTCTGTCGTTGGGAGGGTGTCGGGAAAGGGCTGGAGTCCCAAAGCAAGCACGAGAAAATCCAGTTGAGAGAGTCAAACTCAGGTTTATTAAGTGAAAGGAGTATTGTAATACATCGGGCCTTACCCACTCTAACATAGCTGTGACGGTGTGCGCCTCCCCTCCTCCCGTCTCACCTGCACCCCAAAAGATTGCCTGCAGCAGCAGAGCGGCCCTTGAACCAGAGAGCATGGTGGTCCTGTGGATCCTCCATGCCGAGGAATGCTAGGTGGTCGTCTGGTTTTCCAACAGGTTTCTAAAGAGAGCCTCTTCCACAGTTGGGTTTGGTTCAGAGGGGAGTTTTGCTGGTAATGGCAGTTGCCCTGGTGCACCAGTATTTGGAAGTGTCTCTAGGGTACCCATGTCTGTGGATGGCCTGGGGAGGAAGGACAGAAGAGAGTTTGATGGCATGTTTCCATGAAAGCTGAAGTCTACGTGGCTGCTCAGTTACATTCTACATTTCCCTCTAACTAGAGCATGAAGTATTCAGGTATTTCACAAGATGCTGGAAAATAGCAGGTTCGTCGGCAGGGTGGCGAGGGATGGGTTCCCTGGGTGGCAGTGAGGAAGGAGGCTCTCTCAGGTGGGAAAAGTTGACAGAAAGACAGAGACAAATACATTGTCTGGCGGTAAGTGCTTGGTTGGCCTGGAAGAAGAAGGGATCCTGCTACACACAGACAGTTCAACAAAGCTGTTGTCTTCTGGCAAACCACCAAATAACCTGCCTGGTTGCCAGCTCTGGTTCCTGGGCTATCCTTGCACAGTTTTCTTCTCCTGCCTGTCCTTTATTCCAGCTCAATACACTGTAGATGAGGATGCGATCTCCCAGCAGCCTGTGCACCTTACCCCCGCCCCCTCCCTTGGAAAGACAGCACGTCCCCTTTCATCTGAGGCAGGAAAATGAAGCCCTGCTCTCTCTGTTGCATTCCTCTCCTCTCCCACCAGTTCGGGAGCGAGAGCGTCATGCTGCTTGTGTCATGGAAAGGAAAGATAATGTTATTTTATTGTATGGTTATTATGATTATTATTTTATTATTATTATATTTTACTCTGGGTTTTAATTGCACACGCATTCCTTAATCTTTGTGTTATGGTTTTTTTCTCTTAGTATTGTTGTTATTGTTGTTAATTTTATTTCTCTTCATCAGTGGCATCAGAAGGGTTGCTGTGTTTGTGAAAACTGCAGGAGGAAGGGGAAACTAGATTCTCCCAAGGATGAAAACTCTGCCTCTAACCTAGGGGGAGTGGGGCTGCTCTGTGAGAAGCAGTTACGGCCTTGAGGGTCAGGAGTTATCCTCCGGGTCACATCTGCATTTCAGAATCAGTCCAGAAACATTCATTCAGAGGCCAAAACCAAACAGCAGCTAACTCAATGATCTGTCAGGAGAGCTGGATCAAAGGCAGGTAAGGACCTCGTTGCCCAAGGATCCAGCCCACCATCACTTTGTTTGATAGGACGTTTATATGAGATCAAGATCGATTTGTGCTCCAGGCCATGATCATTTGGCCCTTTCAATGAACCCAAGGTCCTGCTACATGTTAAGAGTTTGGCTTTTCCTAAAGCAGAAAGCAGATAGATGGCTCTCCAGAAACAGGGCTATTGGAGGAGTCGCGGCGGAGGCGTGAGCATGGTTCTCAGTCCCGTCACTGGATAAAGGACACTGGCATGCATGGACGGCATTCTCTGGGTAAAGCACGGCCGCAGACAGGGCAGGGTTCCTTGCCTGGTCTTCTGCTCTCACTCAAGGTGGATCAGGTGTCCGCACGGCCAGGGTGCTTGTCTTGCTTTTTTTTTTTTTTTTGGTCCCTGATGTAGATTTTCCCTTCTTTTATAATTATTTGTTGTGGAATTTAATTAAGCTATTCTCGTTGCTAGAGTTTAGGTATTTATGTTTTCGTTTGCATCGCCTGCTCTGTTAGAATGGGGGGAAGCCATAACTGAATTCAAACTCCATAAAAAAATGATAGGACTTCAGCAGAGACTTGAAGTTAATCATGCACTTGAGTGCTTTGCTAAAGAACAGACTTAAACCCTTCAAGTTAATTACTTGTTTATGCGCTCTTCTGGCCTAGGACTGGCGAAGCGTGGAAGGTTGCAATCTCAATCACAGTAATGTTTTACTTGTATTAATTGCGTTTTCCCTGTGTACCCATCTGACCTGCTCTCCCACGCGGGCTTGAATCTGATTTTGGGGGGTGTTTGGCAGCAGAGCTATTAGAATGGCAGATGCTGGCAGCAAGAAGGGGTGCAGTGCGTGTGGGAGGAGCCACCCTTCACGTCGTCCATCCTGGAGTCACTGACCTGCCAGCCGTAGGTGGTCAGATGATCGGAGTGACAGAACGCTGTGATTGCAAGAGATGCACAGCACAGCCATCAGATTGCTTTGATGGTGCAACACTGCGCCTTTTCTGGTGGGTATGGAGGAGCTGAGCAACGCCTCCTCCCTCACACCTGTGTAAAGGCATAGTATGAAAAAAAGTGTGGTATGGTTACTCACAGGGGAAACCTGGTCATATTAGCAGAGCAAGCAAAAGCTTTGCATGCTGTCGGTGCCACATACGTAGTATCAGCCAGCTTGTTTTGCTCACAGAGTCCTTTGGAGAGGAAATGGGATTGGCGTGGTTGGGTTGGGTTGGTGTTCTTCGTGTGTGGGGGGGTAAATGGCATGGAAACCTGAGAGAGGAGGTGAATGTTTAGATACTGGAAGTTTTCTGGGTGGCTTATGGCTGGCAGAGTCAAAAAATGGTCCCTTTCCTTATCATCTCATCTTGCTTTCTTACGTGGGAAGCAGAAGGAAGGATGGACGTTGCCACTCCTCAGTGGTGGA